GGCATTTAAATATGGACATTCTAATACTAGGTGTAAAAGTGAAACTATAAAGTTAAAATTTTTTCAACAAAATATTATTTTGAGGGCTTGCTTTTAGACTTCGTTGTTGGAACAAAGCCATAAATAATATTTTATGATTTCTTGATTCTTGGATTGGAGCTAGTATGGCAGTTACCATTGATCGTTCACTTTATTCATTGTTTCATTTATTTATTTAACAAAATTTTTGTTTATTTGCTTCATATGTGCCAAATCTATCTTGGGAATACTTCATAATTTTAGGAGGGAACAAAAAATCATACATGTGCATGTATATAAGTTCATTGGAGTTGAAGGTAGAAAGACCTGAAGCAGTTCCTGTCCAGATTTTTATTTTCTGTAAAGTAGTATCTAAGGTCATCATAGTTCACCACTAGGGATGGTTTTTGGGGAAAACTCCTTGAATTGAAGAGGTTCTCCATAGATGTGAATCAACATTTTTTTGAGTACCTACTGGACAACAAAGTAGATACTGAGAAAGAATATAAATGAGAGACCTGGCCATCAAAGCTTATATTTTTGTCAAGAAAATATGGAATATACCAAAAAAGTAAATAATAACATAAAGTAGCTATGATATTGCAAAGAATATATGGTACTTACACACTACTGCAGATAATTATACAGTACTACAGGAATTCAAAAAATGAATAGAATACTAATGACTAGAGTTGTTTTGTTTTTTAATCTTTCTCCTTTGCTTCATATTGCAATAGTGGCCAAGTGATCTTTTCAGAATGACCCCTTTTTAAATACCTTTTAGAACAGTCAGTGGTAATTTATTATGAGAACTATATAGAAATTTAGCACAGATTCTTTACCTCAGCACAAATAAGAATCAATAACAGTTCTTTTAGAACTGAGCTTTGAGTGCTTTAGAACAAGACAGTGTTTACAGATAGGAAGTTGAGGTTACTATGGCATTACACAATTCAAATTATGTAGCTTTGTGTATCTGTTTGGTGTGAACTTCTGGGTGCAGCTGAGTTAACCAACACCTTTTCTTTCTGTTAGTACCTCTGAATTCCTTACTTTTTAGTCTTTAATATTTGCTGTGTTGATGGTGAGAAGGAAAGGATTCCAGGGCAGGATGGGTGAGTGAGTTAGGTATCTGTAATAATAAGATCTATAGATTTGAGGGGTTTTGTTTGTTTTTAGAGAGAAGGCACGAGTGGGAAAGAGGGGCAGAGGCGGGGAGAGAGGGAACCTCAAGCAGGCTCCACGCTTAGCCTGGAGCCCAATTCAGGGCTCAGTTCCCATGATCTTGGGATCATGACCTGAGCTGAAATCAGGAGTTGGACACTCAACCATCTGAACCACCCAGGTGCCCCAAGATCTATCGATTTTAAACAGGAATAGGAGTGGGGTGAGAGAGAAGAAGGTTGTATAGGATGAAAAGTTTTGAGAATGTACTTTTTTGAGTGTTGTAGAAACTGATTGCTAGCAGCATTATAACCAGGGTGATAGAGATATTATCCCCACATGCATACCTACCACAAACATACAGAAATGTAACACAAAACAAGGACAGAAATGTAAATGCGTAGTTAAGCTCTAAAGAAGGAAAGAAGAAGCCAGAAATGAGAGAAGTCAAATCAAAGCAGTAAGTAGGAGTAGGTGCTATTGTATAAAATAGCACAGGGACTTTTTGGTTCTGGACTATATGTCCTAAGGGATCTGGGTTGGAGTTTTAGTGCATATATGGGTATGGGAGATATGTGGTTTTAGGCATTTTCAAAATAGAGCTAGCACTAAAACCTAGGCATATGGCTTAGAACCTGAAACAACTTCCGTAATTGTACAAAAATCTAATTTTTTTTAATGTTTGTTTATCTTAGCTTGAGCGGGGGAGGAGTAGAGAGACAGGGAAACAGAGGATCTGAAGCAGGCTTCACACTGTCAGCAGTGAGCCCAGTGTGGGGCTCAAACCCATGAACCGTGAGATCATGATCTGAACCGAAGTCGGACACTCAACTGACTGAGCCACCCAGGAGCCCTGTCCTTGCTTTGTATTTTGTAGTGACCGCATAATAGTCTATTGTATAGCTGTACCAAAGTTTATTTAACAGTTATTGATGAACATTTTGATTGTTATCCCGCAGTATTATAAACAACTGCAGTGAATATCTTGGTACATACTACTTTGCCCTTATGTGTGAATATAGTTGCAGAATCAATTCGCAGAAATGGAATTCCTTATTAATAATAGCAATTGCCAAACTGCTCTCCTTAAAGCAATTAGGAATCTTTTTTCCCTCATGCTATCCTTTAATGATACTAGTATTTGATCACACTTTTTGATATTTGATAACTTGCCACGTAAAAAATCTCATTGTCAGGGCACCTGGGTGGCTCAATGGGTTAAGCATCCAGCTCTTGATTTCAGCTCATGTCATGATTTCATGGTTTGTGAGATGGAGCCCCATGATTCTTGGGATTCTCTCTCTCCCCCTCTCTCTGGCCATCCCCCTTGTGCGCTTGCACACGCTCTCTCTCTCTCTCTCTCTCTCTCTCTCTCTCTCGTGCATGCTCTCTCTTTCAAAATATATAAACTTTTTTTTTAATCTCATTGTCATTTTTATTAGCATTTAAACTTAATTCTGTCTTGTCTATTCATGTCCTTGGCCTGATTTTCTATTGAATTGTTTCTTTTCCATATTGATTTGTAGGCATGCAGATAAAATAAGGAAATTACCCTTCTGTGACATGTATTGTAAAAATTTTTTTCCTAATAGGTTGCTTCTTGATTATGTTTGTGGTGTTAATTTTTCAAGCAGAATTTTAAAACTTTTTATATATTACTCAAATTGATTAGCTTTAAAAAAAATCAATATGTTTATTTGGGGGGAGGTGGGGAGAGAGAGAGAAAGAAAGAACAAGAACAAGTTGGGGAGGGGCAGAAAGAGAGAAGGAGACATAGAATCTGAAGCAGGCTCCAGGCTCTGAACTGGCAAGCAGTGAGCCTAATACAGAGCTTGAACTCATGAAGGGTGAGGTCATGACCTGAGCTAAAGTTGGACGTTCAACTGATTGAGCCACTCAGGTGCCTCTATTAGCCTCTTTTTTTTTTTTTAAACAATTTGTACTTAAAAGTATAATACAAGGAAGGTTTTTTCCTTCTGAACCCCCATAAAAGTAAGTTGCCAGCCTGTTATCCTGCTACCTCCTAATACGTTAGGGTGTATGTTTCCTACAAACAAGGATATTCTCCTAAATCACTGTACTACAGCTATTAAAATCTGAAAGTTAACATTGACCCACTACTACCTTCTAATCTTTTAACTCCCATTCAAGTTTCACTAATTGTCATAATGGCAAATTTTTAGCAAAAGGATCCAGTTCAGAACCATGTTAGTTGCCATATCTCTTCCATATTCTTCAACCTGGAACAGTTCCTTAGACTTTGCTTGACTTTCATGACTTTTACAATTTTGAAGATTATTCAAAACAAATTAGAACAAATTGAGCTTGTTTGAGGTTTCCTCAAATTAAATTTAGGATATATATCTTTATCATAGCAGTTGTGATCCTGTTGTATGCTATCAGGTGGCACACAGTTTCAGTTTGTCCTACTGATGATAGTCATGTTGATCACTTGATTAAGGCAGTGTCTGATGGGCATCTCTGCTATCGAGTTACTATTTTTCCCTTTCTACTTAATAAGTATTTGAGGGGAGGTACTCAAACGTGCCATTCCATATCAAACTTTAAAGTTAATTATTTATCTCTAGCAATATGAATTTATGGGTTGCTTTCTATTCATTGGATTATAATACTTTCACTGTCATTATGAATTTTGATGTTCCAACATAATTTTGCTAGTGAGTGATCATTTAAGCTGACCTCTGTGTCTTTTTGACACATCTTCATCATTCTTTGAGCATTTTCTTTTCTCTGCCACAAGATATTCCAGGCTTGTTTTATAATTTCCAACGACCTAAAATCAGCCATTTCTCCAAGGAGCCCTTATCCTTTTTATAAAAAATGTTATCAGAAGCCAAGATCCAAATGTTAGTCATACTCATTGGTACTGGAGTGTCAACTGCTTTCTAGGTTCTGTCAGTGGACAGAGCTAGGAAATATACGCAGGTACATTTATCCACATCCAAACATTTACATATGTATTTATGTATTAGAAAACCATGAGTTCACATTGATAACCTCCAATTCCAGTCTTAACACCCAAGTTCTTATTCTAGTTTTCTTTTTATAATTTAACTCTCTTCTCTGGCAGAAACCTGGCTTCCATTATTGTTTAATTATTTGATGAATCCCTCTGTTGTATGCAGCCAATCTTCCACTTCCACCATCCCTTTTCCTGTATGCCCTTCTCTCCTTGCTCTTGCTCTGACTCTCCATTTCAGGCCACCCCTTCTCCCACACAAGCTTCCTTACCCTGTTGAGCTCTAGCACCCTATGCCAGACCACCGTCTGCAAAATGTTGTTTTCATCCTACTTGATATGTGATACCCACCCTCCACTTAGCTGTCCCTCTGCATGGACACCCTCCTCATCCCACTTTGATTCTGACATCTCTTGCCAGGCTACTCTTCTCACCCTACTTGGGCTATAATCATGTATTAGTAAGTCTTCCCATTCCTCATCAAGTGAACATGCTCCTCACCTTTTTTTTAAATGCCTTCCAGATTTTGTGTTCTACTTCTTCTCCGCTTTAACATTACAAAAAATAATTACCTTTGGTTTCTTTTAGTGATAGATTTTTTTGTACTTGAATACATGCTCTATTTTGGAATTTGTTTTGAAGTAAGAAATGAAGTAGAAGTCTAGCATTTCTTTCAGATGTTTGTCCAGTTGGCTGGAATTTTATATAAAAGTTGTACCTACCCCTTCTCCCCCTATCAAATTTATGAAGCTTCTTAAAAGTATACTGCATCCATAGAGCTTTTTTTAAAAAATGGGTGTCATTTTTCATATTGCTTTTTTTTATAACAGATGATGATGTACCTGCAGATATGGTTGCTGAAGAATCAGGTCCTGGTGCACAAAATAGTCCATACCAACTTCGTAGAAAAACTCTGTTGCCAAAAAGAACAGCGTGTCCTACAAAGAGCAGTATGGAGGTAAATAAATGTAACTCCTTTTCTTTTTGTAATGAAGGAATTGTTAAGAAACAAAACGGGAAATGTCACCATTTAAAAGAAATTTTTTTAATGTGTATTTATTTTTGAGAGAGAGACAGCATGAGTGGGGGAGGGACAGAGAGAGAGAGAGAGAGAGAGAGAGAGAGAGAGAGACAGAACCTGAAGGAGGCTGTAGGCTCCGAGCTGTCGGCACACAGCCTGACATGGGGCTCAAACTAAAACTGCGAGATCATGACCTGAGCCGAAGTCGGACGCTTAACCGACTGAGCCCCCCAGGTGCCCCTGAAATGTCACCGTTTTTTAGAAATAATGATTACGTATGGTAAAAATATTTGCTTAATTAGTTTTCCTTTTGTTTTTCAAGGGTGCCTCAACTTCAACTACAGAAAACTTTGGTCATCGTGCAAAACGTGCAAGAGTATCTGGAAAATCACAAGATCTATCTGGTATTTCCTTTGGGAAAACTAAGGGATAGAGTTAAATACTCTTTTTAATTTTGTTTGATAGCAAAAATTAAAATTTTATTAAATATAGATTAATGGCACATTTTGAATTGAAAAGGTGATACTATAGAATAAACATGAGAACCTGATCTCTTTTGACTGTAATTGTTGTATAAAAATACATTTTATGTGTTTAACCAGTTTCTGAAGTGGTACATAACAGCTAAAAGAAAGAATACTTAAGTTAGGACAAAAGAAGGTAAATGTGTATATTATCTGTGAAAGTAAAATGCTTATAAAATGATTGTCATCAAACAATAAAAACTATTCATTAGATAAAATGAAAATAATGCTCTTTACATAATGAGAAAGTTGTCACTGCCGCAATAAATAGTTTAAATTCTGTTTGTTAACCTCTTTATAGCAGCACCTGCTGAACAGTATCTTCAGGAGAAACTGCCAGATGAAGTGGTTCTAAAAATCTTCTCTTACTTGCTGGAACAGGATCTTTGTAGAGCAGCTTGTGTGTGTAAACGCTTCAGTGAGCTTGCTAATGATCCAATTTTGTGGTAAGTGAAAATTTATTTCTTATTATCTTGAGATATATTATTTGCTGCCCTAAATGCTAAAGATGGTAGGGAAGTTGAAGTGTGAGGTGGTAGTTAAAATTAAACAGTTGGAACAACATTAGAATGCTTATAAATTCCATGTTACCTGTTTATCACAAATGTAGGTTGTTGGTCTAAGCGGTATTTATAAAACAAAAAATGAAGTACTTTCTGTGCTATTTATCAGTTAATAGCAACTGAGTGATTGTGGGAAATGTTCATTTAAATTTAAGCTTTTTAGAAATAGAACTGTGTCTAATTTCAAATAGGTAATTTTTTAAGAAAAAGGAAACAGGTAATTCAATCTGATAGTTTAATGAGAGTGTAGATTTTGTTACATCACTTTTGGAAAACTGTTAACATCACTGAGTTTGACAGTTGTATTTATGAGCCTTAAAGTATGCAAGCCCTTTGACCAACGTAATTCATTTCTGGAAATTTTTTTTCCTTATGTACAAATTTTTCATAATGGCACAGTTAGTAATAGGGAAAATTAGAAATCTAAATGTCTAGCAAGAAGAAATGGACTAATAATGTAACATCTACTTGGAGGATGATGATACAGGCAATTAATAGTGATTTTTACGGGGCGCCTGGGTGGCGCAGTCGGTTAAGCGTCCCACTTCAGCCAGGTCACGATCTCGCGGTCCGTGAGTTCGAGCCCCGCGTCAAGCTCTGGGCTGATGGCTCAGAGCCTGGAGCCTGTTTCCGATTCTGTGTCTCCCTCTCTCTCTGCCCCTCCCCCGTTCATGCTCTGTCTCTCTCTGTCCCAAAAATAAATAAACGTTGAAAAAAAAATTAAAAAAAAAAAAAAAAAAATAGTGATTTTTACAAGAGTTGCTACTAACATGGTAAAATGCTATGTTCTAAAAAATTTTTTTAAAGAGCAGAATACAGAATTTTATATGCTATATAATCATAACTGTAATAAATGAAACTATCTGTAGATAAAAAGACTGCAAGAAAATACCAATTTTTACAGGAAGTGATTAAATAGTTACTATCAGTACATTTCTGAGATTTGTTGGCTCTTGATAATAACATGTAAAGATATACAAAGAGTTAATTAGGTTCAGAGTATTTCACTGAAAGCCATCCTTTAATTATTTTTTTCAAAGTTTATTTATTTATTTTGAGAGAGCATGCACATGTGTGAGTGGAGGAGGGGCAGAGAGAGAGGGAGAGAGAGAATCCCAAGCAGGCCACGCACTGTCAGCGTGGAGCCCAGTGCCCGGCTTTATCTCACAAATGATGAGATCATGACCTGAGCCGAAACCAAGACTTGGGTGCTTAACTGACTAAGCCACCCAGGCAACCTAAAAGCCATCCTTTTAAATAATAACCGTATGAGCCTTATACAGTAAGGGTAGCCTTCTTTCCCCTAAGCAAATTTTGAAGAATTGACACTTCTTATTTTGGGAGGTGTACTGTTTTTTATATGTAGTTACATATTGTTTTTTAATGTTTGTATGTTTGTTTGTTTATTTATTTATTTATTTTCTAAATTTTATTTATTTTTGAGACAGGAAGAGACAGAGTATGAACAGGGGAGGGTCAGAGAGAGGGAGACACAGAATCTGAAACAGGCTCCAGGCTCTGAGCTGTCAGCACAGAGCCTGACGCGGGGCTCGAACTCACGGACGGCGAGATCATGACCTGAGCCGAAGTCGGCTGCTCAAGGCTGCTCAACCGACTGAGCCACCCAGGCGCCCCTGTTTATTTATTTTTGAGAGAGAGTGAGTGGGGAGGGAGCAGAGAGAGAGGGAGACACAGAATCCTTAGCAGGCTCCAGGTTTCTAAGCTGTCAGCACAGAGCCAGATGTGGGGCTCAAACTTGTGAACTGTGAAATCATGACCTGAGCTGAAGTCAGATGTTCAGCCAACTGAGCCACCCAGGTGTCCCTATATGTAGTTATATTATTTTAGCCAAAAACCATTTTACATTTAAAATTTTGGTTTTTTATATTCTTATATGTTTTAAAGCATCAGATAATTTTTCTAGTTGTTTTATTTTTATTTTTTTTTAATGTTTTTTTATTTATTTTTGAGACAGAGACAGAGCATGATTAGGGGAGGGGCAGAGAGAGAGGGAGACACAGAATCCGAAGCCGGCTCCAGGCTCTGAGCTGTCAGCACAGAGCCCGACGTGGGGCTCGAACTCACAGACTGTGAGATCATGACCTAAGCCGAAGTCGGTTGCTTAACCGACTGAGCCACCCAGGCGCCCCTTTCTAGTTGTTTTAAAGGACATTTTATGAAGAAATCTTTCATTCCTTTTCTCCTTCAGGAAACGATTATACATGGAAGTTTTCGAATATACTCGCCCTATGATGCATCCTGAACCTGGCAAATTCTACCAGATTAATCCAGAAGAATATGAACATCCAAATCCTTGGAAAGAGAGTTTCCAGCAGTTGGTATGAAGTATAAATGGAAAATACTGATTTATATTTGTAACTGAAAGTTTCTTTTTAAAAAATTTATTTAAACTTAAGAATAGGTTTTAAGGCAATGAATATTTATCAGTCAACAAAATATTCAACAACTTTTTTAACTGCTGATGTATTTATTAATAATTTAAACAGTGGCAGTAAGCATCAGTAGCCCAAGAGCAGTTATACTTTATATGGATCTCTTTGAACTTTTTCTTAAATTATTAGTGTTCAGTAGTTGTTTTAAAGTTTCACATTTACCTTAATTTTCCTATGGTCTTTTATGAGTGGTTCTCAGGTGGGGATGGTTTTGCTCCACAGGAGACATTTGGCAATGTCTGGAGACCTTTTTGGTTGTCACACTGGAGAAGAGGATTCTACTGGTATCTAGTGGGTAGAGGCCAGGGATGCTGCTAAATATTTTAACAGTGATGCACAGGACAACCCCACAACAAAGAATTATCTGTCCCAAAATATCAGTAGTGCTGAGATTAGCAAATTTTGTCCTTTCTTACTGGATATTACTGAGTCATAAGCTGTTTCAGAATTTACATTGCACTATGCAACAGAAAATTAGAATAATTAAAACCTTTTTTATATTTAATAAAAAATATATAATACAAAATTAATTTAGAATATAATGTTTATATTAGTAGTTAATGTTTCTGGTTTTTTTGTTTGGTTTGTTTTTTGACATTTTAGTATAAAGGTGCACATGTAAAGCCAGGATTTGCTGAACATTTCTACAGTAATCCTGCAAGATATAAAGGAAGAGAAAATATGTTGGTATGTTTGATTTGTATTTTTACAAGACTTAAGATGGTAATCTTTCAGTTCTGTACTGATGCTTTTGATTTTTTTTGTAGTATTATGATACAATTGAAGATGCCCTTGGTGGGGTACAAGAAGCTCATTTTGATGGACTTATCTTTGTTCATTCTGGAATATACACTGATGAATGGATATATATTGAATCTCCCATCACCATGATTGGTGCAGGTATTTTGAGATGCATTGTCATTAAAAATTTAATATATTATTTACGTGATTTTTTTTTTTTTTTTAACACTAGTGACTTAAAATCCAGGGGAACCTTGGTAATACCTTAATGGTAAGAAAGAACAGGAATATTGCATATCACAGAAATGAAAACATGATAGTTCAGACATTATTGATGAATTTTTTTTTTAAGATGTATATATTTCTTGATGTCTGTACTTTGTCCAACTGTCTTATTCATTAAAGAAAGAAAGATACTTGTTTTATCTTTTATTTGAAAATCAGGATGGTTAATGTTTTTATTGCTGTGTTTTTAATGAAACAGATATCCTTTGTAAATTTTTTTTGTGCTATTGGTCAGGTTTCTAAGAATTAATGTAACAGTTGTTGAGCACTGATCAGTCATTTCAGGATTTCTTCTGCCTTTTTTAAGGACACTGTACCTGGACCATTTTAAGATAGCTAGCATTTATTACTTGTAACTGAAATTTTTATTTACTGCCCCTTGTGCTTCCCTGCTCCATTTCCACGATAGAGAATAGGGGGGGAAGATATAATAAATTTTGCCTAGTGACTTGCAGTACTTTCCAAATCAAGGCCAGTTTGGAAATAAGTTTAAATTGGGAGGTTTCTCTCCTTCTCTACCTACTTATCATCCCCCTTCTTCTTTCCCCTCCTTAAGCTTCTTTTTCTGGTGCTGCCAGAGGTGATTTTATTTTCACAAGAAACCATTTTTTAATCTGTCATTGTATTTGATACTAAATACTATTAGTAGTTAAAGTTAGGAGTATTGTTAGGAGTATTGTTATATATGAATGAGTACTCAAATTAATAGTACTCAAATAATATCCACATTAAATATGATGGCCTGTAGAAAAGGCCAGTGAAACATAGTTACCTGATAAAATGAATATTCTTATATATTCAATACTAATGTTTTTTTAAAACTTCCCCCTCATATTATGCTAAGTGAAATAAATTAGACAAAGACAAATACCAAGTGATGTCACTTATATATGGAATCTAAAAAACAAAACAAATAACAGTACAAAGGAAATAGACTCATAAATACAGAGAACATATAGGTTGTTTATAGAGGGGAGGTAAGTGGACAGATAGATGAAAAAGGGGAAGGAGATTAAGAGGTACAAACTTCCCGTTATAAAATAAATGTCACAGGTTGAAAAGTATAGTATAGGAAACATAATCAGTAATATTATAATAATTTTGTGATGGTGACAGAGTAATTACACTTCCATAGTGAGCATTTTGTAATGTATATAATTATCAAGTCACTGTATTGTACACCTGAAACTAGTATGTTAACTATACTTCAATTAAATTTTTTTATTAAAATTTTTCTTAAAAAATGAAAAAAAAATTCCTCCTCCAAAAAAAGTACCCAACTTAAAACAATAAAAAGGATTTTTTTATTATTAGTTTTATGGCAGAATATTTTTACTGATTAAAAAAATTTTTATTTCAATTTCATCTGATAAATCATGTGCTTTAAAAAAATAAAGGTAATGTGTTTTAAAATATCTTCTCCACAGCACCTGGAAAAGTAGCAGACAAAGTTATAATTGAAAACACTAGAGATTCAACCTTCGTCTTTATGGAAGGTTCTGAGGATGCTTATGTTGGATATATGACAATAAGGGTAAGGAATTTAAGATTTAGAATATGTATGTTGAAATCGTTTAAGGCAGTGGTTGTCTGTTTCAAGCAGAATTTCTCCTTTTCAGTTTAACCCTGATGACAAATCTGCTCAACACCATAATGCACACCACTGCTTAGAGATTACAGTAAATTGTAGCCCTATTATTGATCACTGTATCATCCGAAGTACATGTACAGGTTAGTGTTTCCATTATGTTTTATTATGAAATGAGTTATTGGGGTGCCAGGGTGGCTCAGTCAGTTGAGTGTCCCGACTCTTGATTTCGGCTCAAGTCATGATCCCAGGGCTGTGGGATCCAGCATTGGGCTCTTCACTGAGCATAGAGCCTGCCTTGGATATATATTCTCTCTCCCTCTCTCTCTCTCTCCCCCTCCCTCCCTCCCTTTTCCCCTCTCCCCTGCTCTTCCTCTATCTCTCTCCCTCTGTCTCTTAAAAAAAAAAGTCACTGTATTGTTGTCCAGTAGATTTTTAAATAAGTTTTTCTTCTTACAGTTGGCTCAGCAGTATGTGTTAGTGGTCAAGGAGCATGTCCCACTATCAAGCACTGTAACATCAGTGACTGTGAAAATGTTGGACTTTATATAACAGATCATGCACAGGTATTTTTTTAATTTTGTGGGGTTTTTTTCTTTTTTAAATTTTTTTTAAAGTTCTGCTAATGTCTATTTCTGATTAATTGTTGCAGGGAATATATGAGGATAATGAAATTTCCAATAATGCTTTAGCTGGGATTTGGGTTAAAAATCATGGAAACCCAATTATTAGACGGAATCATATCCATCATGGACGTGATGTTGGTGTATTCACATTTGATCATGGCATGGTAAGAACATTTATTCTTAATAAAAAAAAACCTGACTTCTTATCAGTTAAGCTATTTTTTTAAAGATTTTTATTTTAGGGACACCTGTGGGGGCTCAGTCAGTTGAGTGTCTTGACTCTTGAGTTCAGTGAAAGTCATGATCTTATAAGTCATGGGATCAAGCCCCACATCAGGCTCTATACTGACAGCATGGAGCCTGCTTGAGATTCTCTTCCTCTGTCTCTGCCCCTCCCTTGCTTGTACACACACACACACACACATACACACACACACATTCTCTCTCTCAAAATTTTAAAAACAAATTTCAGCATCATATTTTAAAATCAGTGTGCAGTAATCTGTAAATTCATGAATCTAATACTATGTGCATGTAGAGAAGATGGTGTCCTTAGGGAATTGATGAATCTTTGAGGGGAGTAAGATCTAATATAGTAGTTCTCAAATGTAAGTGTGCATAAAAATCACCCAGATATAATAAATAATATAAATGGGGATTAGGATATGCATTTTTAATAAGCACTATAAGTGGGTTGAATGCAGGTTGTTTTTAGACTACACTTGGAGAATTAATGGTTTCATCATTCCATTTTAGTGCTTTAAAATTTTTTTTAACTGGCAGAATTTTAATAAGAGATACAGTGATAATAAAATATCAGTTCTAAAACTGATGCAGCAGTTAATTAGTGTCTTGATGGATAATGTTATATTTTAAATACTATTATGTCATTTTACACAGATTTTTAGAGGCACAACTTTTTGAGCTCTCTTAGACCACTATTTTAAAATAATGGTCTTTGGTGTCTATTCAGGTATGCTTTTCATTTAATGTCTAATTTTCATTGAGGCAATTTTTAAGTCCTAGTACAACACTGGCAACATTTTTTGTTAAGGAGTCTGAGATGGGAGAAGAGGTGATGATATGGTGGGCAAATCGGGTTACAGCGAAGTTGTATTGCTGTTGTATAGCATGAATCAAGCAACAGAGGAATGTTGGATTCACATATACAAATCATCAATTAGTGAAGGAAATTTTTTATTTTTATTGTTTGTTCCAAAGCCCTAATGTAGAACTGTTTTAAAACTGATCTAGACCAGGAGGGAGCACTCTTTTATGAAATTCTGATTAGATTTAAATGGTTTCAGACCATCCAGTGCATCATATTCCTGGGGTAACTGTAACCTGAGAAGAATAGTTCACTTAAAATGTAGGCTATAACTTGGGCCTTTAAATAAGAAAGCAGAGTGGGGGAAATAAAATAAATAAACAAGCAAACAAATAATAAAGAGTGGAGATGACCACTTGCCCCTCTCCAGCTGGAATAAAGAAATTGACATTTCACTGTAAATTGTACCTCTGTTTTCCAAAGAATAGGGAAATAGGAAGCATGGGAACTGGGGAGTCTGGGCAAAGGTATGGAGGATATCAAAACATAAGAATCTTGAAAATCTCCCCTTCTCCCCTGGCCTATATTGCCTATAGTTCCTAAATGGAACTCTCATTTTGTAATGGCACCGCTATGCTAGTATTTTTCTGCTCGCGTTGCCTTTACACTTTGCCCCAGAGTTAACGTACAATTCTAGTATCACGTTTTTGCATTCCTCTGGTCTCATTGACAAAGGAGATTTGAGGTGCCAAGATAATTTTAATCTGAGTAAACTTCCTCATTTTTAAAAGACCTGTGGTGATGGTCACTTAACTAAAGTTCATCATAATAATTTAGTCCTCATTGTACACCTATATTTGGGCTTACAAATTTTTTAACTTGTTTTTAAACAATTCTAGGCGATGCTACAGATAGATATTTTCATTAAGGATTGATGAAGAGATTTGTAACATATTACACATTTGTAAGGGAAGGATGGAAATTAAAGCATAACATCTTTTGGTAGGATGTTCTTCCATTTCAGGTATTCTTTTGGCTTGTCTTCTTCATCGTCTTTGTGTTGACAGCCCATGATCGGTAGGATAACATCACTGTGAATAATCTTTCTAAAATTTGACTTTGTTATCTATAGAACTTCAAAGAACATTAGAATAAACATTTAAAACTAGTTTTTATACTGTCCACTTTCTTTAAATTTTTTTTTTTCAACGTTTATTTATTTTTGGGACAGAGAGAGACAGAGCATGAACGGGGGAGGGGCAGAGAGAGAGGGAGACACAGAATCGGAAACAGGCTCCAGGCTCCGAGCCATCAGCCCAGAGCCCGACGCGGGGCTCGAACTCACAGACCGCGAGATCGTGACCTGGCTGAAGTCGGACGCTTAACCGACTGCGCCACCCAGGCGCCCCCACTTTCTTTAAATAGACATGTATTCTCTGAATTTTTTTCCTTTACTTGCCTGCTGACATACTTAGACTTTAAATTCCTATACTCATAAGAATTAATCATAAAAGATTTTATACTCTTTTTATTTTAGAGAGTTGTTTTTGTAAAGATACTACATGCACTAGTATAAAGGACACCTCTAGGATTAAGTATGAACTCGTACAAAAAATGAGGGAATGAACACCTTATATTTCAACCTGTCACCATTCCGTCATTTATATTCTTATTTTTCTCTTGTAAAGATTTGTAACATTTGCATTCCTATAGTTATTGGTGTGTATTTATTCTATATTTGTTTACCTTTAGTCCTTTTATAACAGGTTGTCCATTGCTGAATTTTTTTGATTCATCCTTTGTATGGCTGGACTTTGTCATTTAGCCATTCATTATTTGTTTTTTGGGTTTTTTTTTTAAGTTTATTTACTTATTTTTGAGAGAGAGAGACAGACACAGAATCCCAAGCAGGCTCCACACTGCCAGTGCAGAGCCCAGTGCCGGGCTTGAACTCACAAATTGTGAGATCACTACCTGAGCCAAATCAAGAGTCAGATGCTTAACCAACTGAGCCACCCGCCACCCCTTTTATTTATTTTTAAAAGAGGGGTTTACAAGTATTGTAGCCTGAATTCTTACCACTTGAGAACACCTACCCCATTACCTTTTAACTTGGCTAACTATACACAGTTTTGAGTGCACTTTTTTCCCCTCTGAATTTTATAGTCATTTTTATATTTCTAGCATCCAGTGTAGCTGGCAAGTCTGAGATCATTCTGGGTTTTTTTTGTTGTGTTTTTTTTTTTCTTTTTCTACTTCGGTATCCTTATGTAGGTTTTTGTTGATGTTGTGTTTTACTGTTTTTTTTTTTTTTTATTCCATGTGTTCCTTTCTTTAGAAACTTGGCTCTCTGTGTCCCTTACTGTGTTTCTATAGTTCTTTTTTTCCTGTTTTGTTTCCAGTAGGGTTTTTAGCTCTAATTTTTAATGCATTTTGTTTTATGGAATTTTTCTAACGTACATAAAAGTAGAACAGTATAGTGAATGAATCTCCACGTACCTGCTTTCCACTTCAACAGCTATCTCAATTCATGGCCAATTTTGTTTCATCTGTACTTAATCACTTTACTCTCTAGATTATTTTGAAGCAAATCTTGGACATCATCATGTCATCTGTATACATTTCAGCATGTATCTTCAAAAAATGAGGATTCTTTATTTTTCTTTCTTTCATATAACCACAGTACCAGTCTCATTCCTAAAAACAATTTTTCTGTCATTGTTCACAGTTCCCCAATTATCTTTTTTTAATATTAAATCCATTCCAGAGTATTGTTTTGTATAAAATGTAATTAGAATACCACAGCAATACCAAACTGCTATAAAATTTTTTGAGACATTTATTCTTAATTTATGAATTTGACACGACAGGTGACAGAAATTTTGAAATTGCCCTCTCTCATTTTCCTTTACTTTGGATAATCTCCCTTAGATAGGAAGCATAATTTCATGCTTAGTGTGTTTCTTACTCACATTTACTTCTTGTGCCTGGGATATTTCTATGAAAATGATACGGAAATATCTCTTTCTTATGTTCCGTTCATGCCATTAGATCTCATCACTGTAGTATTGGCTAGGCTCATTGGAACCTTCAGCTATTTGGGGAAAACTACCTTGCTAAAGGTAGAAGATAGCATTTGTTAGGTTTCAGCACCTACTCTTCCTTATCCAGATTTTGCAGTATTTGGCAAGTGTTCTGTAAATAGTAGTTTGCATTGCAGACATTTATTTCAATGAAGATAGCATGCTTTTTTTCCTCTATTTTTCATTCTTGTTTTCTTTGGAGAGTTTTAAGAGAAATTCTTGAATGCCTTTTACTTTGTCATATTTAATAAAGACTGTTGTATTTCCAAAAAATTTTAAATGAAAAAGTCCTTCGCCTTTTATTTTTATATCAGTGTTAAGTTTTTAACTTTATAGAAAGTTAATTTTCAAAAATTTATATTAATGTGTATGTCAAGGATTTAGAAACACTTGTGGTATCAAGTTAACAAGCCCTTATTTTATATATGGAAGAAGCTTGGGGTCCCTGGGCAGCTCAAGTCAGTTAAGCGTCCAGCTCTTGATTTCAGCTTGGGTCATGATTTCATGGTTCACATGTTCAAGCCTCGCATTGGGCTCTGCATTGACAGCATGGAGCCTGCTTGGAATTCTCTCTTCTCTCTCTGCCCCTACCCCCCTTTGTGCCGTCTCTCTCAAAATAAATAAACTTAAAAATGTATATATGGAAGAAGCTCTTAACAATCTGGTATCTTTGAAATGATTTTTTGGGATTGTCCAACAAAACACCCTTGCTTTTGGAGTTTTGTACATATATGTTGGAGTTTTTGTGGTTTGCATCTTACAAGGCAAAGTAGAATTCTGTCTATATCCAACTTAACATTTCTGTATTATTAGGCTATTTTACACTAAAGGCGTCTCTTAAAACATGCATTCCATTAAAATGTATTTTAAAGCAGAATTACATTAACTGAACCCTTTAAGCCCATAAGATAGATTTCTTTGTAAAATTATTAAACTACAAGTCAGTCAATCATTGTTCTGTAATGAATGTAATCAAATGACAGTTGTAGCAATAGAGAGGCTTCTGGTTTTCAAAGCATGTAGTGGGGGGGCGGCTCCTGGAGCATGTGACTCTTGAGTGTAGGGTCGTGAGTTCAAGCCCCACATTAGGAGTAGAGTTTACTTAAAAAAAAAAAAAGTATGAAAGAAAATAATGTTTTTTGCTGCTTTCTGTTCTTGAAAGCTATCCTCAAACAAAAAATACAGGTTACAAACACCGTCTTTGATAAAACCTAGGAGACATTTTAACCTTTAAATTGCAATGTTGTAAATGACTGCATGCCTATGACCAGGGCAGCCAGTCCAGTTTAGAGCAGATTATAAAACCTTATGTTCAGGAAGATAAATTGATAAATCTGATGTGAATATAAATATATTCAAGTGTTTAAAGAACTGATCACAGGTTTAGGATAGAATTATCACTAGAGACCTAAGCAAAGGAGAACAAGATAATTACTAACTTCAATAAAAAGTTGTATGGCAAAGAATACATAGTTGTACTTTATGGCTCAGCTCTGAGTAGCACAGTAATCTTAACCAAAATTGTGATATAACTACATTGGAATGATACAGTGTGAATGTGTGTGATGGGAGATAGAAATAGAAAGAGCTAAATTGTTACCTTCTATAATAGGAAGTCAGTGGATAATCCCTAAAACTGCAAGCTGAAGATACAATACAAGTTGTTTTTTGGTTTTTTTTTTTTAATGTTTATTTTGAGACAGCGAGCGAGCACAAGTGGAAGGGGGCAGAGAGAAAGGGAGAGACAGAATCCCAAACATCTGTGCTGGTGGCGCGAAGCCTGCTTAGGATTCTGTCTCTCCCTCTCTCTCTGCCCCTCCCCTGCTTGTGTGCCCACTTACTCGCTCACTGTCTCTCTCTCTCAATATAAATAAACTTTAAAAAAATAGAGAGATAGGGGCGCCTGGGTGGCGCAGTCGGTTAAGCGTCCGACTTCAGCCAGGTCACGATCTCGCGGTCCGTGAGTTCGAGCCCCGCGTCAGGCTCTGGGCTGATGGCTCGGAGCCTGGAGCCTGCTTCCGATTCTGTGTCTCCCTCTCTCTCTGCCCCTCCCCCGTTCATGCTCTGTCTCTCTCTGTCCCAAAAATAAAATAAAAAACGTTGAAAAAAAAAAATTTAAAAAAAAAAAAAATAGAGAGATAAAAAGAAACAGCTAACGAATGGAAATGGGGGCCATTAGATCAGGGAAAATGAGGAGAGGAGGCTGCTGTTTGCCTTAATAAACTTGTGGATCTAGTTCACTATCTTAGGGGTGCCTGGGTGGCTTAGTGGGTTAAGTGTCCAACTCTTGGTTTCAGCTCAGGTCATGATCTCACAGTTTGTGAGTTCAGGCCCTACATCAGGCTCTGTGCTGATGGTGTGGAGCCCACTTGGGATTCTCTCTCTCTCTCCCTCTCCTTTCTGTCCCTCTCCAACTCGTATGTGCTCGCACTCTCTCAAAGTAAAAAAATAAACTTAACAAAATAACAACAACAACAACTAAATTGCTTTAGTTGACTATCTTAACTATACAGAATCAAAACCTAAAGAAAACAGAAAGAACATCCCTGCATTTGAATCATGTTTAGTCAATACATAGCAAAATATACTTGCAGTACTGTATGTTTAGTATAGTCAGTAGATGACAGTGGGCTGTTACTGAAATCTTTATGGAAGCCCAATAAGCAGCACATTTCCTTGCCACATTCTGAACAAATTAAGAAATAAAGCCATGAGGTAGCAGGAGGGGGCTGAAATAGCATTTTATTAACCCTTAAAGAGCTAAGTTGGAGAATACAACCTAGAACAAGAACCACATGGATCTGGTTGTAATTGCACCCCAAAATTAAATAGGCTTACCCACTTAGTCCTAAGATTTGTTTGTGGAATAGTAGAAGGCATGCTCCCTCAGGGCAGCTCACTTCTGTGAGGAAAAGAGTGAAGCTGAATGAGCATACCCAGTTTATTCTTCCCCAAGTTTACCAATCAGAGAAGTCATTCAACTCCCAGCAGAAATAAACTAGGAGCCTAATTGAACTCCTTTCTCAATAATGAAAACATCAGAAATGTGGATTCATTCCAACCTAACATTAAGTCCATTTGGTCTGAACTCTTTAGATTTCTTGGTTTTTTCTTTGATGCTCAGTTTTGCCATAATAGTCTGTATATATATCCATTATACATCCATTTTTATTTGGTGTAAAATCAAAGAAGCTTTTCATATTTAAAGAAGTTATTTTTCAAAGTTACAGATAATTTGTACTTGTAGAAAATGAATCCAGAAACTACTTCTGAATGTTATTTTCAGAGGTGTGTCTTCTTAAAGAGTTAAATATATAGTAAACTATTCAGATTTACATCCTGTTTTTAGCCTCTACTAGATTTTGCAAAAAGTTAATTAGTTCTTACTTGAGTGTCTAGTGTGTGTGAAGTCCTGTATAGCTGCACCAGAAATTAGTATATTCATTTCTATATAGGAGCTTATGATCAGTTAGAAATGGATATGACCAATATGGAAGTAGTACAAAGCAGTACTTAGAGGTAGCATAAGAAAGTACTTAGTATTAAAGAGAATTTAAAGAATGGAGAACACCTTCAGTTTTTGAAGGGAGATAGACCAGGAGGTAAAGTGCCATCTTAGGAATGTCTTATTTTTTTCTCTTAATTATTTACTCTTGATTGGATCTTAGAATTTAGGATATCAGTATTACAGTAACTTTGACTCTCATTACAAGTAAGTGAAGCATGTCCAAAAAATAAAAAAAATAAGCATGTCTGTTACAGAAGATTTAAGAAATTAAGAGAAGTGTAAAGGATACAAAAAGTCATCCATAATACTTCTCAGATAATCATGCCCTCATATTTTTGTTTTATTCTTCAAGTTTTTCTTGAAATAGAATTGAGATCATATTTAATGTATACTATCTTAGATAGCATGTAGAGCATAAACATAAGTCTTCAGAAGGGTTTTATTGTCTCTGATTATGTCCTTAAGTCAACTTTTTAGAATTTGATTTCTTGGGGCATTTTTAACAAGGATTTATTTTATTTAATACGTAATAAGTCTTTGTTAAAGGATCTATATATTTATTGGGTAATGGTGTTTATTTGCATTTATTGAATAAATCTTTCCCTATTTTTCGTTCCTGGCTTTGAGTATACGCAGACTAATTAGAGAATTTATAGTTCTGTTTTACTAAAATACTTAAATCTCTTCGTTTATCATTTGAAATTTAGTGTATATCTGTGTTTTATTCTTACTCAACATTTCTGATACTTAATTTAGAGGTATACATTAAAAACGTCAATTTTTTTAATGTCATTTCTTTTTGGAAGGTAGCCTTACCTACAGTTTAATTTCTGTGTTTTTCAGGGTTACTTTGAAAGTTGCAACATACACAGAAACAGAATAGCAGGCTTTGAAGTAAAAGCCTATGCTAACCCCACGGTGGTTCGATGTGAAATTCATCATGGGCAGACTGGAGGAATATATGTGCATGAGAAAGGAAGAGGACAATTCATAGAGAATAAAATCTATGCAAACAACTTTGCAGGTGTATGGATTACCTCAAATAGTGACCCAACAATAAGGTATTTATATGTAATTATGGATGGAAATTACTTTGTCACATTGTTTTGTGTTATAAGAAAAGTCAGGATACTTAGCTTTAACTCTCCTAGACACCTGACTGCTGTAAAATAGATTTTCCTAGTAAATGTCTATGCATCTGAATGAGCATAACAATTGCTTTTATTTTAGGGTGTTCGTTTTTTAGTGATCTAAGCCATGCATTAATAATATTTTATGAACAATTGCAAATGCTGAGATTTTTATTTTAAATTTATCAAACTGCATTATAAATGGGTACATAGAGCCATGAACTTTCTCTTGGAACCTGAATGATCTTGTCTTCTCTTTTTGTCTGAGAGCAGGTAGCATAAATCAGGAAAGTAGCTATCTCAAAGATTCTTGGACAGAGTCCAAGAATAACAAAAAGTCAAAACTTTCCTTTAATAGTTCCTACCACTCCCTCTGGCCACAGTAAAGAAACAAACAGATACATTCTGAAAGGCATTGACTAAGACTGTAGAACAGAACTATTATAATTTGATCAATGATAATTTATTTTTAACTGCCAAGTTTTATTTTCCACTGGCTTTATGAAAGTAGATTATGGGATTTCCATCTTGTTAATATTCAGCAAATGTTTCCAGATCAGCTAAAAAACAGTTCTTCTCATTGTGTTAGCTATTTTGAGGGGTGATTTTTAAGAATGTTATTTTGGGGGTGCCTGGGTGGCTTGGTCAGTTAATAAGCGTCCAACTTTTGATTTCGTCTCAGGTCATGATCTCAGGGTTCATGGGATCAAACCCCGCATCAGCTCTGCACTGACAGAGCAGAGCCTGCTTGGGATTCTCTCCCTACACCCCCCCTTTCTCTCCCACCTCCCCACCCCCCCAACCCCTGCTCGTGTGTACCCATGCTCTCTCAAAATAAATATTTTGGGGAAAGAAAGAATGTTATTTTGTCTCAAATACCAGGAGGCTCTTCTAAGCTTTAGGTCTTAGAAAGAACTGCAAGGGAATTAGAAATCATCTAATCTGAGTCCCTCATTTTACAGATTAGGAAACTGAGGCCCTTAGAAGATAAATAATTTTTTAAGGTCACATGATTATGAGTGGCCTTACAATTTATTGTGTAAAACAAGTAAGCTTGTAGATGTTTGAATAGATGTTTATTTTTTATTATTTATTAATTATAGGGGAAATTCTATATTTAATGGAAATCAAGGGGGAGTTTACATCTTTGGTGATGGACGAGGCCTTATTGAAGGAAATGACATTTATGGTAAGCATGTGGTTTTGCTGTATATAGTCTTGGAGCTTGGCCTTTCTTGACATTATCACAGTGGACCACTTTGAAACCATCCAAATAGGATAATTGATCCAGTTTCTTTAAACTCTTAATAAAGATTATTTCTGATATCTATTTACTTAATAGTCATTATTCACTTAACATTTACTGAGTACCCATTGTGTACCAATCACTATGCCAGATTATCAGTGATGAAAATATAAATATGACCTTAGTCTCAGAAGTATCTACAGTTTCCTTAGATTCACTTCATTAACTTTGGTACTAACTATAAAAGGAAAATACTCTTCATTAAAACTTTTTGAGATATTAATTCAGCAAACCATTATTAGGTGTCTGTATGCCAGACACTGATATGTTCCTGGGCTTTGTCTTTTGCTAATACTTAACATAAAGCTTACTTAGTTTCAGGCATTATTCTGAACACCTTACCTGAATTAAGTCATATAATATTCACATCAACCCTGTGAAGTAGACACTATTAAATATCCCCACTTACTGATCAGGAAACAAAGGTATGATGAGGTTAAGTATCTTACAGTCACACAGGAAGGTAGAATTCCTGGGATTCAAAATTTGGCAGCCTGACTTCTGAGTCTCTACTCTTAACCATTATACCCATACTGCCTACGGTTTTTCTTTTTATACTCCTGGTTCCCTTAGTTTTTTTTAATGTTCATGGACCACAAATATCTTTCTGAATATGACATATTCACAGCCTAATGCTTTTCCTAAAATTGTAAAAATGTTTAACTACTGTGTAATGCAAAACTCTTACTGTGTTGCACTAGGCTCCTTATGTTGACATTGTAACTTTTATTTTTAAATAGGCAATGCACTAGCAGGAATTCAGATTAGGACAAACAGTTGTCCAATTGTTCGACATAACAAAATTCATGATGGCCAGCATGGTGGGATTTATGTGGTAAGTTAATGAATATAGTTCTAGAATGCCATGCATTAAAACCAAGAGAGAAGGGGTAGGCCACATTCAACTTGTAGAGTATGAATTTATGACTCTCTTTAATATTTATACAATAAGACTCTTGTTCTTTCTGCCAGTATATATGAATAACTTACTTTTATAGTGTGGGTAGTGTTCTGTAAAATTCAGTCAACTGACTGAATTTAGGCATAGAAGTATCTTCTTACTAATTTTTTAAAGTTTTATCTATTTAAGAAATCTCTGCCCCCCAGCGTGAGGTTCATGACCCTAAAAAAATCAAGAGTCGCACGCTCTTCTGAGCGAGCCAGTCAGGTGCCCCTAGACTTGAATCTTTTTGAATATTTTTTGAAAAGCCATTTTCTCATTTGAATTTATGTTGAAACATAATTGAGCATCTTACAAAATTGTAAAAACATCTATTAGTCCTATGTTTTCTGTTACCATGGTGTCTGAAACTGTTACAACTGATTCAAGTGAGAAAATGCAGGAAGTTTTAGAAAGGTCCTTGTGTAATGCTAGGTGTGACTCTAATTTTTATTTTCAGTTCTAGAAATGTCCATATCTTAAATCTTCTCAAAAATTTTAGTAACCTAAGACCTTTTTTTGAATTATTTCATCAGTAATAAATTTGAAATAACTATTAACTTACTAAATGAAAGATAAGCTTTTTTGCTGAAGAAAATTGAATGCTACTACTCTTTCTATAATAGATTTAAAAGTACAAAGCCGCATAACAGTATATAAACTTCTGGAGCTTAAATTCGTGTAGAGACTACATAAAAACAATGTAATCATTACCTCTTTAACCAGATTAAAAAATAAAAATTGAGATTTTTTTATGATAACTGTTTTTAAAGGGGGAATATAAACTATTTCTAGAAGATATATATGTATATATATATTGTAATGTTTCTAAAAGATATGTATTGTAATTTATTGTAATAAATTTCATTTAGCATGAGAAAGGACAAGGAGTAATAGAAGAGAATGAAGTTTATAGTAATACTCTGGCTGGGGTCTGGGTGACAACTGGCAGCACTCCAGTACTGAGAAGAAACAGGATACATAGTGGGAAGCAGGTAAAATTATTTTGGACTCTTATTTGGGAAACACATTGTTTGGTAAACACTTTCTTGTCATTTGAAAAATAATTTTTTTAAATTTTAGGTTGGCGTTTATTTTTATGACAATGGACATGGAGTGCTAGAGGACAATGATATCTATAATCATATGTATTCAGGGGTTCAGATAAGGTAAACGTTTTCACATTTTGCTTTCGGGAAAAAGTTGGGTGGGAGTATGTGGGGCATGTAGAACTTTCCTTGTTATTTAATGCTCAATCTTTATTCCTCCATATATATATTCACTCTCTTATCACATGCTCAGCTTTGTCAGAATATAACTTCTCTTGAACGACCTGAAGATGGTAGCCAGTGGCACATATGCCTGCCATAAGTGCACATTTCCTCTGTTCTCCAGTGTAACGGTTGTAGTTGCCAGTGTACTCCATCATACTTGGAAAAGTGGAAGGCTGTATAAAAACACTTATGAGCTATCCCTGGCATGTTGTAGGCACTCGGTAGATGGGAGCTTCTTTTTTTACACTATTTCTGTAAAATTAATAGTTTTTTAAATCCCTCTTTCCTGTATTTTAACAGTTTTAAAAACTGTAATAGTACTTAAATTCAGCCCTTCATTTTATATATGAGGGGAGCATGCAGTAATAGTCGTTTAATCTAACTTCCCTCAGTTTAGTTTGTATATTATTAGGAGACTGTATAGTAGTAATATAATCTATAATTAAGTGTATTCTATAGTAAATAGAATTAAGCAAAATTAAATCAGTGTCTTTACCAATAAATTTTCTCAGAGCATTTTGGAAGGATGCCATTGTTATATTTATTCTTACTGTGATTAATATGAATTTTTCCACTGTTACCTCACATAACATGGATAAGAGAGTAAAGGCAATTTATTTTTTAACGTTTTTATTTATTTTTGAGACACGCGCACGCACACACACACACAATGTGAGTGGGGGAGGGGCAGAGAGAGGGGGACACACAGAATCCGAAGGAGGCTCCAGGCTCCAAGCTACCAGCACAGAGCCCAACACAAGGCTCAAACTCATGAACCACAAGATCAAGACCTGAGCCGAAGTCGAATGCTTTAACTGACTGAGCCACCCTGGTACCCTGGGAGTAGAAGCACTTTAAATGGCATTATTTTCTATTGTATCCATAGGACTGGAAGCAACCCCAAAATTAGACGTAACAAAATTTGGGGAGGACAGAATGGTGGAATTCTTGTTTATAATTCTGGTACGTTTAATCTTTCATCTTTTTCTCAATGCTAATTGCCTTTAAAATATACTTTTCCAAATAACATAACCTACATTTTTACACTTGTAGGTCTAGGCTGTATAGAAGACAATGAAATATTTGACAATGCAATGGCTGGAGTCTGGATTAAGACAGATAGTAATCCTACACTAAGAAGAAATAAAATCCATGATGGAAGAGATGGTGGCATCTGTATATTTAATGGGGGTCGAGGTATCGTTGTTAATTTTGCATTAGTAAAAAATCAAGTTTTTCATTATTCTTCTTCCATATCTTTAATGATTAGTGACATTACCAATTAATATGTTATAAATGAGTGAATCTCAAGTTTATTTATCAGGTCTTGAGATGGTTTAGGAGATTAGTGCCTACACGTAAAGAAGACAAATGTTAACGTAATTTTTCTTTTTTCTTTTGTAGCCAGCTTGACTATGCCAGTTGTTAGGCTTTTTTAAGGTAGAATTTGTTTACATCCTCTCTCTGGACTTAATATTTAGAATAGTTATAGGATTATAATAAACCTCAAAGTCCAGTTACATAACTAGATGAGAAATTAATTGGGTCTGTAAATAGATGAAAATGTCTGTAGTAAAGAAATATTGCTTTGTAACTGTTTACAACTGTGTTGGAGAATGGAATTAATGAAGCCCAGCGGGCATGCCTGGTTTTGTATACATAAAGGTCAGCTCATTTTGCATTGAGGCAAAAGTTCCACAGTCCCTGCCCCTTGCAAATGCATGTTGCTTATAGAGAGAGACTAGGGGAGAATGTCAAATGCAAATTTATCATCATTCCTGAAATGTCAGTAACCCAGCACTGTACATATCTTATACCGGATAGCTAGTTATTGCTACAACATACCAGTCAACAAAGTTTACTACTACAGCCAAGCAGTGATGATTCCATTAATGACAGAGACTCTGAAGGAGCTTAGAATTTAGTAATAAAGTAACATATCTGATAGGAGTATTTACAAGATATAATGAGGAAACACAATACAGTGGATGGTTTTATTTGTAAGGTGTTGAGAAAAGGTTCATGGAGTAAAATCACTCCTGAGCTGTGCCTTGAAAAATAAGTATTCACAGGTCAATGGGGTGGGGAGGTCATTCCAGGTGTAGAAAGCATACTTATTTCATTTTCATTTGTTCTGTACATATTAACTGAATACTCCTGTACTAACAACTGTGATACCGATGCTAAAGATACAATGCTAAATAAAAACAGTACTACATCCAGAAAGTTTATAGTCTAATGGCACATTAAAACAAAAGTCTCGAAGAAACAAAGTGGTTTAGTAAGGCAAAGAGGTACTGAAAGGTGAGCCTAGAAAAGAGGCAGAGCCCAAATCTTAAGAGACTTTGTACATGGAATTCAGACTGGATCTTAGCAAAAGCAAACTTACAGATAGGGACTTGAAGCAATTTAAGGTCAAGACTGAAATACCACAGATGGGTCAAATGTCTACAGAAATAAAAACCATGTTTCACGTCTTCAGGGAGCAGAGAAACACTAGTACACAACTAATAATTGTCTATACATAATTAGGTTTTATAGGAGTAATATAGCTTAATATTTTAGTGCTGTGTACTTTTACATATAGTAATTCATGTGATCCCCATTATAACCCTGTATGGTAGGTGCCATTATTCCCATTTTACAGATAAGGACATGGAGACAAAGAGTAGGTAAGTAATTTACCTACTCAGAGCTAGGAGGAGGTGAAATCAGTGTTTGAAGACCAAAAGTCTAATAATTCCTCCGCTCACTATCGATCATTATGTTATACTCCCAGAAGAGAGAATAATAAATTTGATGGAGAGAAACTAAAAATCTTCCAGAGGACGTGACATTAGGAAGAGAGTAGGACATTCCGGAATGAGGAAATAATACAAACCAAAGCATTAGAGATAAAAACGTATAGCATATTCAAAGCATAGGTAATGTAGGAAGACAGAATAGGTTGGGGAATATTTTGAAAGGCTTTAAATGGCAACTTAATTTTAAACTTTATTCTGAAAATACTTTTTAAGCAGAGAGGTATGTGATAAAGCTGTAGGTAACTGGGAAAAATAACAGCAAAAGAGACTGGAGTAAAAGAAATCGGTCAAATAATGATTATTGTAGTAATGGCCAGAAATAATCAGGGCTTGAATGAAAACACTGAGGGTCCTGCAGAGGGGAAAGAAACATTTAAAAGGAATTAATTTTAATTCAGTATTTTTAGTGAGAAAAACTATGTGCCAGCCACTGGGGATGCAATGGTGAATGAACTGCACATGGTTCCTGCTACCATGGGATTTCCAGTTATTTGTTAGTATGGTTACATGGCAATTTTCAGTTAAGTCTTACATTCCTTTGAATTACTAATAAACTTTACTTTCAGCTGAAAAGTTAGTCCTGTGAATTTTATACAATGCAATAAGAAACTAAAAGAATACTTAAATACCACCAAAACACCTAGTAAACTTGTGTGCATTAGTCTTAATCTGAGGAAATATTTTATTATAGGTCTCCTTGAGGAAAATGACATTTTCAGGAATGCTCAAGCAGGTGTTCTCATCAGCACTAATAGTCATCCAGTCTTAAGGAAAAACAGAATATTTGATGGATTTGCTGCAGGTTTGTATTTTCTTTTGTTACCTGTAGCTTGTTTTCTATAAAGTGTTTGATTTTTAGTCTATTCTCTTTTGCTTAATAACTAAAGGTATAAATTGTATTACAAAAGTGGCTGAATGCCTATCAATTTATAATCGCTTATTAGAGTACCCAATCCAAGTTCTGGATTCTTCTACTCTAAGCCCAACTTTTAAGAAATGTCTCTCTTAATGTCCGGTAGTAATTATGAAACATTAATTGGGATAGAATGCAGGCTTGTACTACAGACAAATTCAAGCCCTCTGGCCTCCAAAGTATTACGCATATATTTCAACTTTTTGCCAATGAAGATGACAATTATTTTTATCCCAAATAACCATTCAGCTCCTTTTTTCTTCATGTGTATAACTAATGGCTACCTCACCATACTTCTGAGCGTTTATCCTCTTCTTAGTTTGCAAAGAGAGTAGTAAGTTATGAACCATCTGTAGCATTGCTCACTTTGGCAAGGAGAGTGGACTAGTAACAGTGGAAAATAAGTGTTATTCTCAAGGACTCTAACATTTCATCTTATTCTTTAGATATTAAGAGTTAATACACTTGTTAACTAGTTTTTATTTGCTGTAGTGCAGGTTTCTTTTAGGAAACTGTATAATGTGATGATGTATCTACTGTTTGTAAATTTTACTTCAGGTATTGAAATTACAAATCATGCGACTGCAACACTAGAAGGCAATCAGATTTTTAACAACCGGTTTGGAGGCTTATTTTTAGCATCTGGTGTTAATGTGACAATGAAAGGTATGTTGGAGTCTGCTCTGCCTATAAATATAGAAAATACGCCATGAAAAAATAATGGTATCAGAAGCCATTGGTATTTGACTGCTTTGTCAGTCTACCAAGGCCTATTTTGCTGTTTACCAAGACTGCATCACACCTATTTTCTAAGTTTCAGGTTGTTCTAAACAGTTGGAATCTCTTACACAAGGAAAATCCTTTAAGGTGTTTTACTCAATTGGCTAGCCTTCTTTAAAGATCTTAAAAAGTGACTCTTCTTTAAAATAATTCTATTTTTATCTTAAGTCTTCTATATTTTGTCTTTGTCCTCTAGAATTTTACTTATTTTTTTCTTTTATTACAGACAACAAAATAATGAACAATCAAGATGCCATAGAAAAGGCTGTTAGTAGAGGCCAATGTTTATATAAAATATCAAGTTATACCAGCTATCCCATGCATGATTTCTACAGGTATATTTCTAAATTACTTGAGTCTTGCAAAGGGGGAGTTCGTGATTTTTCTTTTTCTGTGTGTGTGTGTGTGTTTTCTAAACTGGCAATACCTAACATTTTTAGATCTCTCTCTTAAGGCAGAGGAAATGGGGTATTTGCCAGTGGAAAGAAAATATAACTGTGAACTTTATATTTGTCCACATTGAGTTCTGTGGTCAGTCTACTTGAGGATTGTGTGTTGGGGACCATAAATATGAAAATATAATACTGCAGTAACTATTCCTATCACTAGAAAGATGGAACACAATGCTTATATTATTTGCCTAGGAGTTTCAAAGTAAAGCTGTCATTAAGTGTTCCATATACCCTAGTCACTGAGTGGTTTTTGACTCCCTTCTCCCCCAAGTTGATTCAATACAGACTTTGATAGGTTAAATTGCAAATCAGTGGCTTTTCTCAGAAGACACAGGAGATTCACTTATTACATTTAAGTCCTTTTGCAGAATTAATGTGGCATGGGGCCACAAAATGGTTTTGGTCCTCTTTTCTTGTAAACCAAAGGTCATAGGGTGAAATACCATGTTTTGAGGAAATCTCATGTTCAAGAAAAATAATGTAAGCTTTTGCTTTTTAGATGTCACACTTGTAACACCACAGATCGAAATGCCATATGTGTGAACTGCATTAAGAAGTGCCATCAGGGACATGATGTAGAATTTATTAGACATGATAGGTATGTAGCACACTTACTTGCTCTATTACCCACTTATTTTCCCCCTCACTTTCCTAATTTTTGGGTTTTCATTTTGCTTTAGGTTTTTCTGTGACTGTGGTGCTGGAACACTGTCTAATCCTTGTACATTAGCTGGTGAGCCTACACATGATACAGATACACTATATGACTCTGCTCCACCTATAGAATCTAATACATTGCAGCACAACTGAATTCCTTCCCTAAAGAAAAAGTCCTGCCATTCTAACATCATAACTTAAAACATTTTTTTTGGAAGAAGATTTAAAATATTTGCCCATGCTACAGGAAGAGACTGTATTAAAAATGGATACACGAGGTCAGTTGACACTATGAAGCTCAAGCTACCAAAAAGAAAGTGGCAATATATTGACTCAGGATCTCAAAGCTGGGTGTTTTAGCATTACTGTGTAAAGACTTTTGAAGGGACAGAAGTGAAGAAATAAGCTGCAATTTTGTACAGATACCAACTTCTGAAAAAAAGCTGGTGTTTTTACAACTAGCATTGAATGCAGTCCAATTTGCAGTAGTACTCTTCAATAGACAAGCAGCTTTGTTGCTGCCTTTATGGACATGGGTACCAATTGCTTTTGTAATATGGTAAAAATGTGAGCTAGCACTTCTGCGTTTCTTTTGATTTTTTTTAACATGTATTCAGATTGAGAAATATGATTTTAATGCTTTAATCTCATGTAGTTTGTTTTTAATTTCAAGCAAATCTTCTTGTACTTGAATGTGCCCTGTTTTGTTAGCACACCTAGACTTGCTGTAACTGTACTCATGTCCCAGTATGTACGTTCTTTCTATGAAAGAGAAAACACTAATCTTAAATTATATCCAGCAATGTTTCTGGTATCCTTTAAGAAAAGTTAAGACTATTATTTCCTTCCCTTCCCTGTGCAGCATTCAAAAATCACCCCTAGAAAAAGTGAGTGTTTTAATGAGACTTCCTAGGAAGGGATGCACTGTAAAACAAAAGTATTCTTGTAACTCAGTTTTGTGAAAGGTAAAAACTACTATGTTTTAAAGTACACTTTAGAAAGTCTCTTCAAAACAGTCCTGTATTTGAACTCTGTTCATAGTTTTTTTTTGAACAGTTTAGACAAACTGCTGGAAATTAAAAACAATTTCCTGCATTAAGCTGAGACAAGTATATATACAGCCCTATACAGTTTCATAGCTCCCCCTCCCCCATTTATGTGTATTGGTGACAGTGGGTATAAACAGCCTGAAAGTGTATGCATGTACCATAACATCTAGACTTAATATATTGTGGAGTATTCAATAACCATTATGTAGAAGGTAGATAAGAATTAAAAGGGTTTAATTTCCTAGAAAGAAAATGGAAAAATGGTCATTTTTAAAAAATAAAGTTTATTAGATCATAATGTTGTCTGAATTTACCACCTTTGTCAAAAAGTCAACTCAGAGCTTCCAATGTAGTCTATAATTCCTTAATCAAAGTCAGCAACTTAGGGACAGCTTCAGCATCTATAGTCGACCTTTCACTAGCCAGGCAAACTTCCCTTAAAATTAAAAAAAAAAAAAAATTGAGTTCACATCAACCATCCCCCTTTATGGTTTTAATAAGGTTGGCTGCATGGCAAAATTATATCCAAGTATAATTACCGAAATAATCGCAGTGATTGGGTCATCTTCTCAAATTCTCTTGCTTTTCTATGTCCCTTTTGAATAATCTCCTCTGGAAGATTAGCAAGCTTTGCTGCATTAAAGCCATAGCTTTTAGGACAAGCTCCCTTAATGAATTTATATAGGAAGGTAATAGTCTCCTGGCTGGGATCCTCACATTCATTTTCTACCATGCATGCCTAAAAAAGAAAAATATTTTATTACGTTATATTCATGTGCTAGTAATGGAAGTACCTGACTTGATTCCCTCAAAAATCTAACCTTTTGCATAAGCAATTTACACATACCATGTGTCCCAGGCGCACTGCAACGTTTTGAGAATAATCTTCCACTAATGAATGGTAATGGGTAGAAAACAATGTACGACACTTTATGTTCTCAGCAAGTTCTTTAACAACTGCATTTGCTATTGCTGTTCCATCAAATGTTGCAGTACCTCTTCCTATGAAAGTAAAATATGCATAAATTACATATCTGCCTAATACCCAAAAGGATCTACCTTACAATAGAAAAAAAGAAAAAAACCAAGATAGAACAGTAACATCAATTAGTGCATCCAAATAATAGGCCCTGTTTAGCTAAATAGGTCTGGTCTCATTTAGCAGCCCTTGGAGTGGCGTGCATTTCTTTAAAGCATACTGTTCAGGTACCAGTCATCTTCAGAAATGTCCCTTGAGATCTCTTAATACTGAGAACTTTTTCACATTATCTCTTCAATCTCTTCAACTATGGTCTATGGCGCAAAGGTGAGTGCATTCTTTTAGAGAACTGTCAACCATCTTCAAGAAAAGTAATTCTTTGTACTCAAGTTTTAAAAACAGCCTTCAAATGGAAATTGTAATGTCTTACCTAATTCATCCACAAGCACCAGAGAATGTGCTGTTGCGTGTGTAAGGATACTGGCAGTTTCACTCAGTTCAACAAAAAATGTACTTTCACCTAAAACACACACGTATGTGAAGGAGAGCTTTAGAATCCTAAAACAGTACATTCATCTTTAAGGTTCATATTCTTTGAATCCATGAGCTACCCAGGTTAAATCTTTTTACACAGATTACACATGCAATTCTTAAAACAATAGAATGATTTCAAATGTCTGAAAGCATTCCAGAAGAAAAACATCAAATTTAAATGACTCATATGCATGCAGATGTATTTATCTGATATATCTGAAGGCAGATATATTTATCATTTAAAACATGGAAATGAATTGTCAAATTCATCAGATGTCTGATATATCTGAAGGCAGATATGTTTATCACTTAAAACACAGAATGAATTGTCAAATAATAAAGCCTTAGGTGGAAAAGAAAACTCACCTGACATTATTCTGTCTGAGGCACCAAGTCTAGTGAATACTCTATCAATAGGTGTGAGCCTGCATACTTCAGCAGGTATGTAACAACCCGTCTGGGCCATTACAGCTAACAGGCCGGCCTGTAAATGGAGGAAAAGGTCATTTCTAATTGGCATTAAAAACATAGATACATAGACAGATACAGATCTATATATATCCAGAAGACAGCAACGCCAAGCTAATAAACATTATCTTTCATAAGAACAATTATGGTAGCAGTCAGGCACTCCTAAAAGGCAAAGCGAAGCCTAGAGAAGGCAAAAGGCTTAGGGCCTAACTGGCTTGAAAACCTCAGCCTGTGAGGTCTGAACCCACTACATCAGTGATTTTTAACCCTGGCTAGCTAGCTACACAGTAGAATCACCTGGGAGCTCTTTAAAATTGCTGATGCCTAGAAGCAATTCCAGACCTAATCAATCTGGGAGGATGGAACCCTCCTGCACTTTGTCAAGCTCACCCCATTTTCATTTTTTAAGATCACCTGGAGAGCTTGACAGAAATACAAAAAAATCAAAACCGATCAATTAGAACCGTACTGTCCCTTGCTAGTTAGGAAATTTGATGACCATAATTATAATCTTATAATTATACAGGAGAGCAGGGGGTCAGCAAACATTTTCAGTTGAAGGGCCGGGCCCAATGTCTCAGTCACATTTTTTTTTCCTTTTTATAACCCTTTAAAAAATATAAATCATGGTTTAGCTCAGTGGCTGGCCAACCCCTTATGTATTTATTGTCTTCCCTAAAAGCAGTTTCCAACAGTTACTCGAGGTCATAAATTTTATTTGCTTTCCTATCTGAACAAGTCGGTCATGGTTTTTTATAAGGATTCCCACAAATGAATCAAATTAAAGGACAAACCTGCAACATTTTCATTCATTATGAATACACCTACCTTCAGAGGAAATGAATCCAGTCAAGTCAAAGTTTATAAAGACATTAACTTGAAATCTCCCTTGCCTTTTTATTTTTCTAGCCTTTTTAAATATAGGCTTCCTGTACATCAGACAGACATTTGATGAAGTGAATACAATTCTGTTTTATAATACATTTTTCCTTTGTTTCCTAGTATTCTAGTGACTGAACTCTGTTATTCATGTGCTATTTGGAAAAGGGCCTAAATATGTAATATATTCCTAAAGCGTACAAGTAACTTTGTTGTAAAACCTTAAAGGTCACTTTACCTGTCTCATGAGTGTCGACTTGCCCCCCATATTAGGTCCAGTAACAAGCACACAATAAGCTTTGCCACTTTCCTCCTCCTCTTCCTCACAGCCTATTAGAATGTCATTAGGAATAAAATCATCTCCAAAAAAAGTCTTCGTAATGCAGGGATGACGTGATCCTCTAAGGTCCAAGAAGGGGGGTGTGTCTTCTTCTGGAAACAGAATTACTGGACGACACATAGGGCCATCACCCCCTCGACTGTAGTTAGCCAGGCACAGTAAGACATCTGTTAAGGTAAAAGTGAGGCTTGATTTTTGAGGTCTGATAAACACAAAGACCCAACTAATTAATATAAAAAGCCTGCTGGGGATTCTGTGTCTCCCTCTCTGTCCCTTCCTCAGCTCACACCCTGTCTTGTGTCTCTCAAAAGAATAAACGTTAAAAAAAAAATTGTTTTTAAACAAAACACTTTCTCAGTGGAGGGTGGTGGTATGTTCTACTTGCTTTTTAGACATAGTGTTTTTTCTTTTCTTTAAAAGGCACTCCAGAATACATAAAATGCTTTGTTAATGCATTCAATAACCTAAAATCAGTCATCAGCCTAAATGTTTTAGGGGTCTTCTATTATAGCATTTGTAATGAAAAGAGAACTCTCATTTTTGGCCCCAAATCCCACTTCTCACCCAATCTCAAAAAGACTTAGTCCCCTAACATCCAGACCAGAGGAATGCCAGGGGAAGCTAAGAGATACAACTGGGAAATGCTATACTGACCTATTTTACTTGATCTAATCCTGGCGCTAACACTTCTTAGAAGCAGAATGTTTTCACAATAGGCACAATGATATAAAACAATCTTTTTTTTTTTTTTTAAAGTTCTTTTAAATGTTTATTTTTGAGAGAGAGAGACAGAGGACAAGTGGGGTAGGGGCAGAAAAACAGAGGAAGACACAGTTTCTAAAGCAGGCTCCAGGCTCTGAGCCATCAGCAGAGCCTGACACAGTGATCAAACCCATGAACC